CGCGGCCGCCCCCGCCCCCAGCCCCTAATTGGCTCACTGGCCGCTGTGTAAACAAGGGCGCAGCCCCTCCCCCTGCGAAGCGCCTGGCCTTTAAGAAATCGCGTCTCCCCTCGCCGGCGGCACTCGTTATCTGAATCTTAATGAGGTCATTAGCATCCGCGCCGGGCGGGACGTGGGCAGAGCGCACTCCTGTGGGCCGTGCCCGCCCGGACCCCGCGCCCACGCCGCCTGGCCGGACCCAGGGCCCAGGGCTGGGGGTGCCAGCAGCCCTCACCCAGCACCTCCTCCCTGCGGGAGGCAGGACTGTTGGGGGGTGGGGCCTGGGGCCTAGTGAGGGGTCCGGCTGGGGGGGGGGGGGGGTGCCACAGAGCGGCCCTTTGAGAGCATCCCCTGGGCAAATGAGGTTCAGGAGCCGGCGACCTGGTGCCCAGCTGGCGGCAAGGGGACCTTCCTCCTCCCACCCAAGGCACCCACCCTCCAGGCCTTCCTATCCTGGCTGCCCACTGGAGGGGGTGGGGGCCACCCTGCAGCTTGGGCTGCAGCTGGAGGGGAGGCGTCCCCGGGCTAACAGCACTGCCCTCCGCCCCTCCCCCAGGGAACGGCAGGAGCAGCTGATGGGGTATCGCAAGAGAGGGCCGAAGCCCAAGCCGCTGGTGGTGCAGGTGAGCGCCGTGGGCCTTCTCCCCTGGCCTCTGGAGCTGCCCCCAGACCCAGAGGGTGGGGTCCCCCACAGCACCCCTATTCAGCTTCCCTTTCCGCTTGATCTGCACCCCACTCTGGTAGCCCAGTGGGGCTGGGGTGCCCCTGACCGGGCATGCCCTACAGGCACCTCACTCCCCTTTCTCATGCCCCCCTCCCCCGCCTCCCTGCACCATCCCCAGGTGCCTACCTTTGCCCGGCGCTCCAATGTGCTGACGGGACTCCAGGACTCCTCCGCTGACAACCGTGCCAAGCTGGATCTGGGCACCCAGGGCAAGGGCCAGGGCCACCAGTACGAGCTCAACAGCAAGAAGCATCACCAGTACCAGCCGCACGGCAAGGAGAGGGCCGGCAAGCCGCCCCCACCGGGCAAGAGTGGCAAGTACTACTACCAGCTCAACAGCAAGAAGCACCACCCCTACCAGCCGGACCCCAAGATGTACGACCTGCAGTACCAGGGCGGCCACAAGGAGGCGCCCAGCCCCGCCTGCCCGGACCTGGGCGCCAAGAGCCACCCTCCTCCGGACAAGTGGGCCCACGGCGGGGGCGCCAAGGGCTACCTGGGGGCCGTCAAGCCCCTGGCGGGGGCAACCGGGGCGGCGGGCAAGGGCTCGGAGAAGGGCCCCCCCAACGGCATGGCGCCAGCCCCCAAGGAGGCGGCGGCCAGCAACGGGATCGGAGGCAAGATGAAGATCGTCAAGAACAAGAACAAGAACGGGCGCATCGTGATCGTCATGAGCAAGTACATGGAGAACGGCATGCAGGCGGTGAAGATCAAGTCGGGGGACGCGGCGGCGGGCGAGCCCCGCTCCCCCAGCCACAAGAAGCGCCCCGCCCCCGCCCCGGCCGCCG